GAGATTGTGCCTTCCAAAGGGGATATAGTATTCTTAGAAAGGCAACGTGATCCTGCTAGATAACACAGATCTCTAAAAGATATGACTGTATGGAAGGGGATTGTTCCTTCAAATAAAAATCCAGCATATACATTTAATAAATGGCAAGATAATTCAAAAGAATATGCTGATATCTCATATATGCCTCATCTTATAGCATCAGCCCGTAATGTAATTACAAGTGTTCTCCAAGAAGAACTACATAGAAAGGATCAAATAAAATCAGTATTAGTTGTAAAAGCCACATATGTAAAATATACATATAAAGGAACAGGTGATATTAGTGACCCAACAAACTATAAAACTAATTATCATCATCTATATCATAGAGGCTTAATGCGCGAAATCCTTTCTGAGAAATATATAGATGAGTATATAACTCTTTCTGGTGGAGAAATCGATAAACAGATTGAATCATACCTAAAAGAAAAGTCTGGCAAGATTCTTCTCCGAATTGAGATGGTAATGATTGAGTCTTACACTTTACGTCGTATTCATAGAGGCTCATACATCCTTACTCCTAAGAAGCTTGCCAACACAAAGTGTACTATCAACCCAGATAATTCAGACGTTATTGAACCAGTTACGGTCAAGCCAACAGATAATTGTCTTTGGAGAGTGTTAGGTTGTTATTTCGCATATCAGGATGAAATTACAGTCCACCTTGGTAGACGTATATATAGAAAAGTCTTCGAAAATATTTAGAAAAGACCAAGCTTAATGAGATCCCAATGCCAACTCCTATCAGCCCGCAAATCTTTAATAAGATAGAGGAAATGAATACAGATATCTCCATTAATGTCTAGGAATGGAATGAAGAAACTGCACGCCCAAAACCCATAGTTGCTAGTAAGAATTTCTATATTTCAAATTCATGCAAAATAGAAAATTGTAAGCATAATAATCTGAACAAATGTTATGAAAAAAGATCGCATGTAATTCATCTTATGGCTATTACAGATATAACCAAATCTGAAGAAGGTAAGTACAGGCAAAAGAATCATTTCCTCTGAATCAAAAATCCGAATGGCTTGATATACAAGAATTCTGCTTATAGTAATAAGAAGCATTTATGCAATCAATACTTCCAGAGTTGGCCAACAGAGAAATCCTTAGCCCATCACTAGGAGTGGTATTTCAGATTAGGCGAAGCTCCCCAAAGAGTCACAATATCCATAAAGGATGTTAATGATTTCGAATAGTTCAAGAAATACAGCCGAATGATAAATTCCCCATGTGTTATCCTAGTAGATTTCGAGTCATTAAAGAAGAAGTGTGATACACATTATGGTAGAAATATATGAAAGATAGCAGAAGAAAAAGCTAATAGTTTTAGCTACTCAGTTCACTGGATTGATACTGGAGAAACATGGGGTCCCTTTTTATATCGCGGAGAAAATGCCACAGAAGAATTCATTCGAAGGATCGATCAAGAATTGGTAGAAATAAATAAGGTCTTAGCTGTTAAACATGAGCGTATTATTATGGATAACTACAAAAGAAGGTTTAAGAAGGCGAATAGGTGTTGGATTTGTGAAGACAAGTTCTGTATAGACACAGATATGATAAATATGTTGGAAAGAAAGATTGCGAATCTCACCACCAAGCTTACAAAAATTGTTCAGAATCCTATATCTTTTAATAAAGAAAAGGTAAAAAATGGATCCCAGATAGTACACATGAAAAAGGATCTCAAAAATCTCTATACAGAATTGATAAAGGCTGTCAAGAATCCAGAAGATTATAAATCCCTAAAAACTGCTTTAAGTAAAGCCCAAGTCGAATTAGCTAGAGAAAAAGCTAGGGATAAAAAGGTCTGGAATCACTGTCATATCACAGGTGAGTTCTGAGGAGCGTCTCACAATTCATGTAATCTTAAACTTCAGATTGAACCATGAAAGACACCAATTCCAATTATCTTTTACAACTTCTGGGGATATGACTTTCACTTGGACTGTAAATCCATCGGACGCTCAGGTAATTCTCTTCAAATCTCAGTATTTGCTGAAATCTTTGAACAATACAAATCCATGAAGGTAGGTCAGCTTAAGTATATTGATAGTATGCAGTTCATGAATAGTAACTTGGCTAATCTTACGAAGAATTTGGGTAATAACCACCCAATTACAACCGAGTATTTCAAGAAGCAAGGCTATACAACTGAACAGATTTCCTTAGCATATCGTAAGGGAGTCTTTCCTCATGAGTATATAACTTCCCATAACTGATTTAAAGAAACAGAACTATTTCCAATTCATGAATTTCATAGTGTTCTCAGAGGTAAGATTTCTCAAGAGGATTATGACCATGTCCAAAAGGTATAGAAAGAATTTGGATGCAAAAACTTGGGAGAATATAATGATCTCTATCTCAAGATAGATGTGCTTAGTCTAGCGGATGTCTGGACAACATTTCGAAAGACATCCATGCATCATTATGGTCTTGATCCCAGCCATTATGTATCTGCTCCTTCTCTATCCTGGGATGTCATGCTCAAAATAACCAAGGTCAAGATCGAGCTATTCACAGAAATGACCATGCATGACTTCATTAAAAAGGCCAAGTGGGGTGGTATTGCTATGGCAGTACATAGACATTTTAAAGCAAATAATCCTAGCATAGGAGAGGAATTCGACCCATCCCAATCCATAACATGGATCTCATATATCAATACAAATAATCTTTATGGATGGGCAATGAGTCAGTTCCTTTCAGTTGGAAATTATAAGTGGGTTGCTAGTCGGGAATATCTAAAGAATAATCTTAAAATGCAAAAGAAATATCTTAAAATGATTCTTAAGACTAGAGCAAATGCCTCACGTGGATTCTTTCTAATGATTAATTCCCATTTCCCCTAAAGACTCACAACTATTTGAGGGACTTACCTTTAGCTGTGGAAAATGTCACAGTAAAAAAAGATATGCTATGCCCATACATTGCCAAGCTTGTGAATAATATAGATGGTAGGCGATTCTATCCAACAGAAAAACTAGTCCCTCATCTTGGCCTACGAAAAAATTATGTCATTCATTATCAAGAGCTTCAGTATTATATGAAGTTAGGCATGGTTGTAGATGAGGTCACAGAAATCTTGTCATTCGACCAGACGAATTAGTTAGCCTCATATATTACCAAGAATACAAAGTTGCGCCAAAAGCTAAGAATGCTTTCGAAAAAGACTTCTTCAAGCTCATGAATAATTCAGTATATGGCAAGACTATAGAAAATGTCCAAAAGTACCAGGATGTTAAGATCATGGCCTGTAATAATGAGTCAGATGAGAAGAAGTTTTTCAAGAAAATACGTAGTCCAAATTTTAAGTATGGCAGACCGCTTAGAGATACACTAATAGGCACACATATGGGAAAGGCTAGCATAGTTCTCAACAAGCCTATCATTGTTGGAGCTTCTGTTTTGGGACTTAGCAAGCTCCTAATATACTGCTTCTGGTATGACTATGTAAAGGAAAAATATGGAGATAAGGTTAGATTTGGATATATAGATACTGATTCCTTTATATTTATGGTTGAAACTGAAGATATCTATAAAGATATAGCAGAGTGACCAAACATTTTTGATCTTAATGATTCGAAAATTATTGGGCTTTTCAAAGATAAGATTCCAAGTAATGTGATTTCACATTCGGGCGAAATCATACCACTATATCTTAGCTGATAAATCCACAAAGTCAAAGCATAAGGGTTAGCAAGAAGGGTATGAATGAAATGGCAGAGAACACATATCCCAAAAGTAAATCTCCCTTGACTCAAGTATATCAGGATTGTCTATTCCAGAAAAAGGTATTCTATGCCAAGAATATAGGATTCAGGTCAAAGGATCATGTAATATTTCTGGTTGAGTTTGAGAAGAAAGCTCTCTGTCCTATAGATACTAAGCACTGGATCTTATCAGATGGGGTAACTGGTTTACCTTATGGGCATTGGTCTATCATAGTATACAAGAATATGGTTAAAGATGGTATTTCTCATGAAGAGGCCGAAAAAAGAGCTATAAGAGCCAAGCTCTTAGAGAAATATTGCTTCTTTGATGCTAAGCATCTGCAGGAAAAAATAGATTAAGAAAGAAATACAAGAATACTAAAATTTTGAATGACAAATACCTCTCCCGCAGTTCAATAGAATAAGGGGTATGAATGTATGTTTCACATATCTAACTCACCTACATAAGCTAGATAGTGATGAGTAGTCAGATAGCATACATTATTATATTATTTTTTTTTCCTGATGCGATAAATATTCAGTTATAGAAAATACAACAAAAATGACATATGTAGAATGTAAAGTTTGGCATTTTCAGGGAGATGATGATATGAATCAAAAAAGTCATCATAAAGCAATGAAAGCAGGGTGTAAGCACTATACAGTTAAGGCTCTGATTGACATAACTTCTAGCGCAAATAAAATTAGCAAAAGCCTAGCCGATAAGCTTGAAAGATGATATGAAAAGCATTATAAAAACAAAAGAGTGAAAAACTCATTAGGCATCATAGATTACTTAGATATATCTTTCTGATACAAAGAAAAAGATAGACTAGTCTCTGGTAGTGACGAAGTTTTTAATGATTTTGAAGTTATTATAAAGTCAGAAAAAGCTGATCTCATATTAGGAATACCATGGTTATAGATACATGAAGCAAAAATAAATATGTGGAAAAAAGGGATAACAATATATGATGATTTCGTGCCATTTTGCAAGTATCTAAAAAATAATGAATATTATTATTCAGAAACAGATGAATCTGATTCATCCAAGTCTGAAGTAGAGATAGTTGCATCTGAATGCAGTTCATTTGAAGGAATAAAAGTCAAATGCTATAAACCAGCCAAGTATAATGCTAATCTTATATGCATAAAAATATTAACTGAAAGCTGATCCTATGCAATTGGACAAGCCTGAACACAATGTTCATCCCTTGTAGATCAATTGTAGCTTAATAAATAATGCGTAGTAATATCGCTCCTTTGATGCTAAGCGCAGGAGGTATGGCTAAAAAAAATTGAGAAATAATTGATGCAAGACTGAAGGTAAGTTTACTACTAACCCCATGCAGTACTTGCCATTAATAATATTTTTTCGATTAAAGATATAGGCTCATATAGTAAAGTATGGGATATAATATCAATTTGCACAATATGGAAAGTTTAGATGAAATTATAGAAAATGTAAATAAAAATATTAAAAAGGTGTTTCTAGCAGGAGTTGCGCCTGAACTTCGACAAGAAGTCTATATAATTGGTCTTAAATTGACATTAGATAGATTAGTATAAGAGCTAGAGTTTGCACAAAAAGATGATTATTCTTCTAAGCTAGCCAGTCTGAAGTAGTGATCTTCAACTCGGAAGAATTTACTGAGCCATGTATGAAAATAAAAAAAATGTATTTAGTTTTAAACCACTAGCATAGAAATGTCATCATGTACCGGTTTTTCTTCCTGAAATTTTTATTTCAATGTTTCGCAAATAAAAGAATTTTAACACTGCATATGATCTCTTAACCAGTAATGACTTATCCCTATATGCTACATTCTGCTGATCGTTCGAGAGCAATGCACTAATGCAGGTTATTTTTTGAAAATTAGGATCGACAAATTATTTAATATTAAGACTTTCATGTTTTGTGATGATCATAGCATTAACTGCGAAGAATTGTTTTTTATAAAAATACTGAATATGACGGTAGTGTCTCGCATATGTTTTGTATTAGATCATGTCTTTAAACAGTCTTAAGAATCTTGCATATAACATCTTAAAAAATCTTGAGGATAAATCAGTTAGAGATATGGAAGTTCCAGAGCTGAGACCATGTTCAGAGTGTAATAATGAGATTCTAATGCTTCCTATCAAGACGTTCACAGTACTTAGCTGTGGTCATGTTTTTCATAGAGAATGTATTGAGAAAATTTTTTTACTTACTCAACAAAATAACTGCCCTATTGATAATTGTATCGTGATTGTTAAGCTCGTGATCACTGAATGAAGATTTTCTGTATCATCTTAATCAAGTACTTCATCGATAGTTAGGAGAATGAACAATCAACTTCAGATGGAATCATCAGTAATCCAAGAAGAGGAGAGGCCAGTTCAAGAAATGGAAATGGATGAAGAGGTCAATGAAGAAGAATTAAAAATCCAACCTGATAATTAAAACTTTACACTCACTAGCAGTAAAAAATGAACTAGCGAAGATGCTGAGCCACAAGCTCCTGCTTTGCGTTCATCCATCGAAAAACTGCCTAAGAAGAAGGCTAAGAAATTGATTAGAAGAGAAGATTCGCCCATCGTAAAAAAGTTAATCAAGAAATTATCCGCTCCTATTCCACAGCAAATTTCTTCCGATAGTACTATTTCTTTGCAGACATTCCCCAAAATGGATGTTAACTCAATTAATTTTCGTGAATTAAATGACAGGATCATCAAAGCTGAAGGCGATAATCAAAAAACCGTTTTACAACTGATCCATAGCTATTACTATTTTAGAAAAGGGTATAGGTTATGGTTTGATCATTATAAAAAAACGTATAGTGATAATACGTCCAATTTTCTAGTTAATGATAAAATTCGTGAGTGCTTTCCAGACTAAGATAAAACTTCAGAGGCTAATCTTAGAAAAAGGAAGGAAAAGGCAATAAAGATCTTTAAACTTTTTGATGGGGTTGGAGGGGTAGATAAGATAAATTGCATTAAGTCTTTTTCAGCGTCGACTATTTCGAGGTTAGACGTAAAGGATATTGACTATGTATTAGCTAAAGTTTTAAAAGCAGGTCAGTGAAATTTACTGTGCATTTTTTACTCAAGTGTGAACATATGTTCACAGCTACCGAAGTTTTTTCAGATTTTAAATAAGCCAAATTTACTCATGTGTGATCGCCTATTCACACTTGCCGAAGTTTTTCCATTTTAATATTTTCTAGATATGTGTGGTTATTGTTCTACAATAAAATAATGAAAATAATAAAGTTTATAGGCGAGTTATTTTTAACTAATGTATCTTTTTTCGCTAATCACTCCTGATATGATATACATCATATGAAGCGTCTGACTAATCCCTGTTAATCATGAGAGATCCACACAGCCTGTATTAGATTAACTTATACTCTGAATTTTTGGTGATTATCCCATGATTTGAGAAACATGATAGCATCAGGAAAATGTCATAGAACTGACAGGGAGCTAGGATGATTCCTGTGATATGATATACATCATACATCTCTGATTAGCTATTATCTCGAACTAATTTAACTGAATTATACCATTGGAAAATCCCTTACATGCATGTGAATATGTATACAGCCGGATGTGAATCTTATATAAACCTCTGATAATATGCTTGTAATCGAATAAAAATGAATCCGATATTTTATTATAATATACTTGCTACAAACTGCTATAAATCGTAAAAAACAGTGAAATTGCTAAAAATCAATATAATTTTCTAAATATGACGGTTGTTACCTTGGTAAGTGCTATTAACATTAATATGATTATTGATAAAAAACAATGACGGTTACCTAAGTCTATCAGTAATTGTCCTGGATATAATATGGAATATTATAGAACATATCTCAGAAATTACTGGAGTGGCATCGATTTCAAAAAATTTCTTGCTAATGAAAAAATCTATGACAAATTATCAATAATGAGAAAGGGAGAGTCTCCAGTGCAGTGGGGATTATGAGTTAAAGTACTCTCCAATATTTATTATTACGAAATGAAAATAGCATATACCATAGTTTCTGCTTGTTTGCAGGATTTGGTGAAGGCGAATTTGACGAATTATATCATTTTTATTATCGTCCTAAAATCCATAAAAACAATATGGCAATCTGCTTTTGTTGCTGAAAACCATTTCGAGTTAATGAAATAAAGCCAACCAAGACATACCACCATAGATGGTATAGATTCGTTGAATTGATTGAAGCTAAGAACATGATGTAGGAACATTGGGACCAAGAATGTTCTGATCCTTTAAGTGATCTTGAATGTGTAAGGGTTAAGAAACAAGCTTTTGAGCTATACTCGTCAACTCCAAACATACTATTTATCTCATCTCTGTATGCGAAACAAAATAATTTATTATCGTTCACAAAACATCTTAATCAATCAAAAGGTATCACAATAAGATTGAAAGATGGAGTAGAAATCACAATTGTTTAACTATTTTGACTGACCGATTCTAAGCAATATAGATTATTACTTTTGACTAAATAATATCTCAACTATATTCCATTTTTTTACGTTATATAATTTGCATACATGATCACCTAGTAAAATTGTGAAATGTATCACTTGCGAGATAAAAAACCTAATTTACCTATTCTGGATTAGATCTTTAGCAATATATTGTATAACTATTTTAATAAAATATTTTTTGAGAAAGATCCCGAATATTATATTATTCAGCTATGCGAAGCGTCTCAAGGTCAATGCATGTAAGCGTGTATGACATAAATTAACATGTTTTTGATCCTTGTTAAAATATATATAATGTAATGTTAAGATCTTCAATGCACATTCCGCATGTCCTTATTCTCAAAAAAAAATTAACGTAAAGTGCCTTGCATATTCTCCTTCTCCAATATGAATGTGAGTTGGTGAAGATATGGATGGAGATTTAAAATAGTTGGGTAATATATTGGAGTTGAGTATTCTCACACCTTATAAATTCTTTTATTTTAGCTATGCCCATATATACTAAAATTTATAATTTCTTGTCAAATGCTGAGGAAGAGAATATTACCGCTGGGTCTGTTATTTACCAAGGAATCGAAGAAAATCCCTGGATAACTCAAAATGAGCTAAAAAGTATTATTGAACGGGCTGTGGCATTTGTGAAAAATCAATATGAACGAGGCTCTTCACGTCATACTACTCTTCTCGAAATCCTACCAAAGGTAAGATATCAAGCTTTGAACTACTGGTGACTAGAATTTATTTGAGTGATAAATAACATAGACAGTGATACCATTCTGAGGGAGAGAGCATAATAGACTAAATATCCTATTAGCCTGCTCACAGAATTTTTCCTCGGCAGTGTGGAGGGTAGTTAGGCTATAACTATATGCTTAATTCAATGTAGTTATTTTAGTATCACATAAAGTCTTTATTTGAGTGTTAGAGTAGCTAACCATACGAGAATAGGGCTTTATTTTAATCTGACAGCGCATGCGTTTTTGATATTTTTTTAACATATATGCCTGGACTAATTAATTATATGTCTGCGTTAGTTCAAAATTGGCTTTAAAACAGTTTGTAGTTTACGTAATATCAGCACGGTGAAAATGAATGGAGAAAGGCCTCTTACTTCAGATAAAATCAAAAAAAATATCAAAGCACTGAAGGGTAAACTTAGAAAAAATACGTTACAGCTTTACCAGCATTTATTTTCAGATGTAAATAAAGTATCTATTTCTGACTTAACTTGGAAAGATCCTCTAGCCAACCAAGTAATTAGCAATGATTCAGATCTGGTACAGAAATTACCAGAACGGCTAAGGGAATCTTTTATGGTAAAATTCTTTTTATATACGTTTTTTATCTAGTACCGTTTTTGTTAATTTATCATTATACTATTTTTAGAAACCAGTAGAGGATATGATTCCTTCATCACTTTCACGAATTATATAGGAAAAATGTGAAGAATTCGCAGTTAACTTTGTTGATAGTAATATGAGCGTTTTACCACAAAAACTTTCGCATAATGGAGAATGGAAAGAATCAGATGAGGAGCTTGCAGACGTTACTTTAAGAATTTTAGGTTCTCTAAACGATTCATGAAATAATCCTGCCTTTAGCTCTGAGTTTGTAAAATCACAAAATGAAGGTACTTATGTGACTAATGTAACAATTCCTGCTATTCAGATCACATTAAAAGGTCTTCCTTTAGGAAGATCGTCTTATGTCAGCAGGTAAGTTATAATATAATTAGGAAAGTAGTATTTCAAAACCTCTAGATTAATATTATTATTCTTTTAGTGCTAAACGATAAAGTTCAGCTAGTGCAGATAGGAAAGGTGAAGGGTGGACAGGAAGACAGCCAGATATCATGTTTGTAATGAAGCATGATGGAAAAAAATACGAGCTCATATATGTTGAAAGTTCACGCTTGTCTTGCACACCACAGAAGGAAAAGGATGATGAAATAAAGTTATAACGTGAAACCAATGATGGGATGTATTGGGTGCATAAATCGTTTGGACCGGATAAAGGTAAATTTGAAATTATTGGAATACAAGTTGCCAGACGAATAATACGCTTAAATGTTCTTATCAGAGATGTGGAAAATATGCATTGTTATTACCATTTTTATGAAGCAAAAATCCCTGTGCAATAATCAGATCTGTCTATTGTAACAAATTTTGTAAAGACTCTGCTAATTTTGCAGAACATTTTGATAGTTAACATGTCTTTACTACTTAACGCGTCTTCAGTTAGATCCAAAAGAAATAAAGATAGTTTAAATGTAAATTCTGAATAGATAGAATTATAAATATAATATCATTTTTTCTTATAATAATAAAGTGACCTGGCGGTCAATTTCATATAAATAAATATTCATGTTTTTTTCGTGTGAGTGGTATGTATCAGATAATAAAATTTTCTTGGCAAATTTCAGCAAACAATGTTCGCCCAAATTATGTGATCATTTTCTTGTCAAAATTTCAGCATCCTTAGGTCGCCCAAAATCATATGATTTTTTTGCTGACCAATGGTCATGATGTCACGTGAAATTCTTGATATTTCTAGCTGATCTGCCAGATGTATTATCTATATCCATAAGGTAAAGTTTTATAGGAGGTAGTCCTGTCTTTTAGTTCTTCTCTGTATCAGATCAGAAATCCATAATCTTGATTTCTATTTAAAGGTATTTTATAATTCAGAAGATTTTTTTCGTAAGCAGAATATTGGTTACTTTTTTTCTGTGAATTCCACCATTTCCTAACCATGAACCATATGATCGTAATCACTAGTAAAACAGGTATAGAATATATTATCATCAGCGTCAATAGAGAACTTGTAACAATAGAAACAGTTGCTGATACTAGAGGCATTTCTTAGGATAATGGTACTGCTTCTGCATCACCCGATTTTAAAGAAATCCCCTTCCTTGAAATTATTTGGGATGAAGTATTTTTCTTTGATGCTAACTGATCTCTAAGGAATCTATTTTCCTCCATCATTTTTAATCATTCTAAAGATCGAATATCCAGTTTCCATTTGTATATGTTATCTGACGACTCTATCCCTTTTTCCATATATTTTATTTCATATTTTTTTGAATTAAGGTCCTCATTTGCTCATTCTAATGCAAGCCTGAGAGAATCGATCTCTTTAGGGTCAGATAAGTTTATTTGGGCTGGTTCTTCTTTCACTCCTCCCATTGCATCTGAATTATGAAATACCTGTTCTAGTTCCAAGTCATCCAACTTACCTTCCAATTCTCGTACTTTAGCTTCAAGAGAGAGAATCTTGATCTTGTCAGCAGACGAAGCTTTCTGAGCTAAAACTAGCTTTCTTTTTAGTGTTTTAATAGAAGATTTGAGCGATTTGATTTCAGTAGAATATTTGGCTTCAAGCTCACTA